AAAAAAAAAAAAAGAAAGAAAGTACAATAGCTTGGGGTCAGGTGGACCTAGTCTTCAAAGTGACCTCTTTGCTCTTGAACACTTTTAAAAAGTTTTTTGCAGCAATACGCCCAATGCAATACATCATTTGATTTCTTGACTGCTGTTTCCATGGGCGTTGATTGTTGATCCAAGGAAAATGAAATCCTTGACAACATTAATCTTTTCTCCATTTATCATAACATTGCTTTTCGGTCCAGTTGTAAGGATTTTTGCTTTATGTTGAGGTGTAATCCGTACTGAAGTCTATAGCCTTTGATCTTCATCAGTAAATGCTTCAAGTCATCTTCACTTTCAACAGCGAGGTTGTATCATCTGCATATTACAGGTTGTTAGTGAGTCTTCCACCAACATTGATGTCATGCTCTTTTTCACATAATCCAGCTTCTTGGATTATTTGCTCAGCATACAGATTGAATAAGTATGATGAAATTATACAACCCTGATGCACACCTTTCCTGATTTTATACCATGGAGTATTTCCTTGTTCTGTTCAAACTACTGCCTCTTGGTCTACGTACAGATTCCTCATGAGCACAATTAAGTGTTCTAGAATTTCCATTCTTCTTATCCATAATTTGTTATGATTCACACAGTCAAATACTTTGGCATGGTCAATAAAACAGATAAACATATTTCTAGTAATCTTTGCTTTCAACCAAGATCCATCTGACATCAGCAATGATAACCCTCATTCCACATCATCTTCTGAATCCAGCTTGAACTTTTGGAAGTGCCCTATCAATATACTGCTGCAACCATTTTTGAATTATCTTCAGCAAGACTTTACTTGTGTGTGATATTAATGATAATGTTTGATAATTTCCAGATTCTGTTGGCTCATCTTTCTTTGAAATGGGCACAAATATGGATCTCTTCCAGTCTGTTTGCCAAGTAGCTGTCTTCCAAATTTCTTGGCATAGATGAGTAAGGACCTCCAGCACTGCATCCATTTGTTGAAACATCTCAAAAACTATCCATCAATTCCTGGAGCCTTGTTTTTCACAAATATATTCAGCGCAGTCTGGACTTCTTCCTTCAATACCATCAGTTCTTGATCATATGCTACCTCTTGAAATGATTGAATGTTGACCAATTCTTTTAGGTACCGTGCCTCTGTGTATTCCTCCCATAGATACACTCCTTGGAGAGAT